TACAGGGCCATTAATTATTTTAAGGAAACATTTTTCCAGAAACTTTAACCAATATGCATGTTATACATAATAATTGCTGTCAGCTTCCTGGCAGTACATAATCATTGTTGGTATCTCATACTGGAATGTTTGCCTCGTGGCTGAGAATGCCCACTCTTCTGAATGTGTCTCTGTGTTCCATTTGGCATAAGCTTCTTTGCACTGGAGGCTCTTTGGAGTCACATCCAGTTGTACTGAGTTGGTGCCATGGTTTGCTCTTGATGTTGACTAAACCTTTGAACTGTAAGAACAATACTAACATTTTTGAGAAAAAGGCAATTTACATGCAATTAATTACCTGTCCACTCTGCTCTTTCCCTTGCAACATTCCCTTGGCCATGTTCCTTCAATGTTTAATGTCCAGTTCCTATGCAGAGCAAAATTAAATCAATGAGGAATGGAAAACACATGCTGGAAGTTTTCCATGGAACATAACTAGGTGCAGCCTGAAGACAATATGTTTTTTATTGCCATTTCCCCCCAAAAGAACAGGATATAGAATACAGATGCATATTAATAAGTCAAAGCCCTAACTTTATTTAAGTAAGCCATCAGGAAGTTGGACAGCACAATCTGTGGGAGTCCAGTCACGCCACTTCACTCAGAGTACCTCTGGGTTCCCACCTGCTCATTGAGGGGTCCCCGGTGTCCACCATCTATGGCTGTCCTTGCTCCAGTGGAAGCTCACCACTGCATCACTGACCTTCACATTGGGCAGACTGTCCTTCTGCAGGGTGGTGGTCCCGCATGGTCCCCACATCACTGAGGGATGCCATCATTTAGGGCACTGTTCTCAGAAATCAGAGAGTCACTGGACAAGTCCCGTGTTCCCACCCTTAATATCAATCCACTAACAAGTCTCATTGATGCTGCTGTGTCCAAAGTGTATTCTAAAATCTGCCCAAGCCTCTCTCCTTGATTCTTACTCGCTGTAGACTCCAGGAGTTCTTGCTGGTTGAGTATAATGACCTTGAAATGAGAAATGCTTTATCTTTACTTTATCTTATTTTTATAGTTATACCTTTTGTTATTATTTAAGTGTACATATTATGGGGTATAGTTTGGAAATTCAATATATGTATACAATGTATAATGATGAAACCAAGGTATTTCACATTTTCATCTCCTTAAATATTTGTTAAAAAAATTTAGTTTGCCTGTAATCATCATTCGTATTTATGAGGTTCAGTGTGATATTTCGGTGTATGCATACAACATGTACTGATCAAATCAGGCAATTTACATTTCCATTTCCTTATCATTACTTTATGTTTGGTGTCTTTGAGCTCCTTTTAGTTACTCAAAAAATATATGATAGGTTATTGTGATGGATCATCGACCCTCTGTGCTGGACACACCAGAACTGGCTTCTTCTGTCTAATGGTGTGCTGGTGCCAATCTTGTAATGCATTTTTAATCATGTGTTTGAACACAGGTCTGGCTGGCTCCAAATTTTCCATTTCCCCTGCCTCAGAGGGGACTTCCAGCCACAAATGAAGCATGTTCTGTTCTCTAGACATAGAAATAGGACCACCACTGAAATTGATGTTTCCTAGTCCCCCAGGGCCTTAAGATTTAGAGGAAGAAATTAACCAATCACAGTCTTACATGCTTCATGAACTGGAAGCGTAGAACGGCTGAGATTTCCATGCACACCTAGCATGACGTCCTCCAGCTCACCCTCCGGAGTACATCTAACTGTCTCAGTGTCTGCACTTTCTGTCCTCACATGCCTCCTGTACGTATTTCACCTGGCATGGATCTAAGCATGAACTGTGACCTGTCTTTAATCTATATGCGTGCAAACACTATGTATACATGGACTTACTAAGGGTAGGTTAGCAAGGAAGACTACAGTCAAGAGGTATTTACCTCCTGTCAACAAAAACCTCAAATGAAATACCAGACAATCTTTTTCTTAACTCATTCTGACTGGGCACCCACACAGAACTGGTGGCCAGACCCCAGTCTCCTGCCATGGGCTGCTGTCCATTTCACATAGCCCAGCTAGCCACATCCTTTGTACCTTAGCTTCTGCACACCAACTCTTTGGGCTTCCCCTTAACCTCAAGTAGCTCATCAATGCTATTCCAAAAGAAGACAGCCTCCCCCTAAGGAACTCTCCTTCACCTAAGGTGATATACTATTATTCTCCCGTGAAGGGGGCTAAAGATTTCAGCACAAGTTAAATGTTCCTGATGATTTGAGTTTAATATTCTTTTTTACAGTTATTGAGAGCTTCATAGGAGCTGGGCATTACTTTGTTGCCAGGGACATCATAATGGGGTGCAAAACCCAGCAAGAATTACATGTAATAGTGTCAGACACTGTTAATGAGTGGCTACAGAGGAAGAAGCCATTCAGGAAGAGATTCAGTAAAAGATATCATGCACACGTGAGTCTAAGCTAGACTGGGGGGTCTGAGAAGGGAGCCACAAGAAAGCGAGGGTGGGAGAGTCCCACGCAGCGGATGCTTCTCAAAGGTCACCAGTGGCCTCCTCAGGAGCAGCCCTCCTGGTGCTGACCATTTGTGCACTTCTGTGGCGCGGCCCTTCTCACTGTGGCTGATGTCCAACCACCCTTGTGGAGCGTCTGCTCATGGACCGTGGAAGACGAGCCCAGCAGCCATCAGGAGGCTGCATTTCCAGCACACGGAAAGGACCCCTAGTAAAAGTCACCAGGAAGCAATGAGTTTTGAGTATTTCTTCCCTTTGTTTTAATACGATTTATTCATGAGCTTATGCAAGTTAATTTTAATAATAGCGCTGTTGACAATCAGTTTGTACAATTCCTGAAAATTTAAAGTCAGTCCCTATGAGCCCATTCAGGCTGCATCCTGCTCACACCTGAAAGCAGAGTGGATTCAACAAGGTGTGTGAAGGACTCGGAGGAAACAGCCTGTGCAAGGCCTGTGGTGGGGCTTGGCAGGGTTTGTAAGTAGAGGGGAAAGGCCCTGCTGTGGGGGGCGGGGATCCTGTGGCCACTGAGTGGTTTCATTCCAATTGGGTAAAGAGGGCCAAGGGTTAAGCTCTGAATGGGGACAGGATTGCCCTCCTGGTCCTCCGGACTCTGATGCTCCGTGATGATCAAGGGGAGATTAAATTTTTAGAGGACAGAAGAGTTAAGAACTGATGAACAAAAAACAGAGAAATTGTGTCGTGCACATTATAAGTAGATGTTTAAACATACCGCCACTTGAGGATAAAAGCAACCTTATCTTTAAAATAAGTAGCCACAGGAAGCAAGGTGAGTCAGGTGTGGTTTCCCTTCCTCCCTCTTCACGGGTTTCTACCTTTGAAACATCACTTCCTCCAAGTGTCAGACGATTGTATCTGCTAATACATTTTACCAACATGATCCTAGGAAGGGTGGGGATTTTTACGCCACTCCCTTTTGGTGAGAATGGAGGACAGTAGGAAGTAGACGCTGTAGCTTCTCATTTTCAGAAACTCCTTGTGCAAGAGTTCAGAGAACCAAAGATCAGGGAGACTAAGGGATATCTTCAGATAGAAGGGAAAATCTACGGGGGGCATTGACCTCCATGTCTCCTCCATCCCCCAGGTTTGAGTCATGGCTTCTAGATTCCAGGCTCCCTGTCTCTGTGGGGCCTCTGCCAGTGTTTGTCCTGGTCGCCCCTCTGACAGGACCCCTGAAGTAGGTACAGTCCTGTGTCTTTTCCCAAACCCTGTGCCGCAGCCCACCTCTGGCCACCCACCCTGGGTATTCCTGACCACGCCCACCCCTCCCCTTCACTGCTAGTTTAGACTCTGTCCCCATCAGTCCTGGCTGGGGTTGATGTTAGGAAGAATACCTTTGGAGATAGTCAAATTCCTACTTTCCAGTGTATTAACTCTTTGACACCTGGGAAGCGAGGGGAGCTCTCTGGGCCTTAGTTTTCTGGTGTATAAAATAAGAATTGGAATCTTTTTTTCAGGTTAGGAGTTGAGAAAATTTTCAAAGTACCTGGATTGATGAGTGAATGATAATGTACTAATTTCTACAATTATTATTTTTTATCTGTTCCCTAACCTGCCACCAGTCTAGGTACTTTTCAAAGGCCTGACAATTTACTGATTCATTCTGAGCACGTGCCACGTGCCAGACACCACCCTGCCGACTTCCTCTTGCTGGCCAGAGTCATAGGAGCTATTTCCCCAGTGCAGGGTACATTTTGTCCAGGGGATGCTTTAGCCACTTTTCAGCTGCTAGGCTACATGCTAGAGAGCTGCAGGACCACATCCAGGTGCGACTGCTCCCAGAGAACCAATATTCCTGCGCATCCTTCAGGCTTGGCGTCTTTCTCCTGAAGAGCCAGGTCTGGGTGCATTCTCCTTAAAGTCCATTTTAAAAGTTAATGTCTGGCTTGCCAACTTGCTAGACATTGTGTCTTTTGTTCCCTTTTATCTAATTATTTATTTAGGAGGAGACATGGGAAGGAGATGGAGTACTATTCAATAATCACGTCTAATGTGTCTGTACTTGGGTGGAAATTTTAAGTCATTATCTCATTTCTTTCCTCAAACAACCACATGAAGAGGCATCTTTTGCCTGCTTCTGTAATTAAGCTAGATGAAGGTCAGAGAGATTAAGAAACTGGCTCCCAATTCCAGGATTTGTGAAGGCCGAATGAGGACAGAAGAGCTAAGAACTGATGAACAAAGAATAGAGAAATTGCCTCAAAATTTGTCCTCAAAACCTGAGTATAGTGTTGCATGCAATTCTGGAAATTTAGCACATTCTTGGATTTGGCAGTGGACCAACTGCTACCACCACTTGGAATGCTAGAACTAGGTCAATGGCATTGTTCTGTCAAGCAAGAGGGTCTTGACGTCACTCAGCCCCGTCATTCCCGCCTCTTTATTAGAGAATTCTGTTTTCTTTTAAGGGGATCAGTCTGTAGACAATGTTGTCATTTTCACCATTACCAGAAGCATAAGAAAAGGAATGTTTAACGGACTCACCGTTGAAGCTGCAGCAACTTAGTAAGAAACAGGGCTGAACGACTTGCAAGTGCCTTCACCAAGCGTCTTTCACCTTAGGGCCCAAATCCCAGCTGCTGTAACCAACAGAACCAGCAGGTTTTCTTCTCTGTCAAAATGCCCAGTGCCTTACATCAGTGCTTGTTCAGAAAACTCAGCCTTTGTAGCTCCCTTGTGAGGATCTGGGACTCTCAGGATCTTGTCCATTCAATAAGCACAAAGAGAAGCCAAAGCAGACGGAAAGCCCCTGCCTGTCCCTGATGAGGACAGGAAGCTGCCAGCAAGAGCCTGAACTCTGCGGGCTTGGGGACAAAGCAGGTGGGCAGAGCCCAGGCAGGGCCACAAGCCCAGCTCACACCTGCTGTTGACATCAAACAGTCCCGTGTTCCCCTGGCACCTGTCTTTATGTCCGTGGAGGCTGAGCTCGGAGCACAGGAAACTCAAGGCTTTTTGTCCCCATTAGAATCTTCCTAAAGCAAAGGTAAAATGTGCCGTTTCTCTCCTTTATTTGTGGGTTTTCTGTGTACAATCTGGATGCTAATGTTTTGTGCGTACCTTGCAAATATCTTCTCCCAGGATGGGCTTGCCTCCTCACTGTTCTCACGGCATCTTTTGATGAACAGAAGTTCATATCCCATTTCATATTGATTGGTGGCTGTTGCCTGGAGCCTCACTTTACAGAGGTTCTGAGACTGTGAGCCGGTTCAGTGGAAAAGAGCTCCAGGATCTATTAGAAAAGCCTGTCAACCACGGGACCCCCCGGACCATCGATTTACAGCCCTCAAAGAAGCTGGCTGGCTAGTCAGTGATTTCAGTTCACATTCCTACAGATGTGCCCGTATGTTGGAACTCTGAAGACAAACAAATGAAATGATAGAAACTCCCTAAATAATTTTCTGTATTCCTGGATAATATGGACCATTGGCAGAAAGTAGAGACAAACATATTATCCCTTAAAGAGATGAACAAATTTCATGATCTTAGGAGAGATTAGGTAAGTTCTAGACGTGAAGAATGAAGAAGAGTTTGCCAAGCAGGAAGTAAACCGTGAGCAAAGAATCAGTTATACAAGAAGAATAGCTTGCAGAGATCTGTTGCTTGGCATGGGGCCTCTAGTCAACAGTCCTGAGTTAAGAACTCAGAAGTTTGTTGGGGATAGCTTTCATGTTAAGTGTTCTTGTCAAGCAAATAACAAAAAATAAAGGACACGGAGAAACCTGGGCAAGTGATGGATGTGCTGCTCCCTCTGTGCTGTGGTGGTGGTTTCAAGGTTGTGTGCCTGCGTCCTAAATCATGAAGTTGTATGCGTGGCACCTGTGCAGATTATTCTGCATGGAAGTTATAAGACGGCTTAAAAGCATCTCAATAAGTAAAAATGGGCAGTGGACATCATGGTGTGCTCATGGAAGTGCAAGCCCTGGGCAGGCCTGGGTGATGCAGGTGTGGCCAAGGGTGGTGAGGGAGGAGTTGGCCAGGTCCCTGTCTTCAGAATTGGAGGCTTTCTTCTTCAGGTTATGGGGTGCCAGATCCTGGGCTCATCCTTTGGTCAGCTCCAGGGTCAAGGTGTGTTAGATACAGAGCTGAGGAGATGGGGAAGACGGGGCAACGCGGACACAAGGCAGGAGGGCCTCAGCAGCGAGCAGGTGCGGTGCGGGAGCCTCTGCTCTCTCACCAGTGAGCTGGGCTCAGGCCTCCAGCTTGGCTCTGGCAGAAGCTTCTGTGTGAAGACAGGAAAGGTAGTTTGTGACCATCTCTAAAAGATCATGTGAGTAAAGGGAAATTAAAAGAGCCTCAGGTCCCAGAGTTGGGGCACAAACCCATTTGTCCGTCTTGGACCCAAGGGGAGGGAAAGACACTGGGACCAGCACTGGGCCTTTGAGTGGGTCTTGTGCCCTGTGAGGAGACTGCTTTCAGAACCGGGCAGAAGGATCAGTGTGACCAGAACATAGCTGCCGTGACACATGGAACTTTGAACCAATGAGCTCCCTGAAGCCTTGGCTGAGTGGAATGGCACAGCCCTCTTCAGAGGCCTGAGGTCAAGTCCATGCTAGGCCCCTGTGGCTCCAAGTCTTGAGCACAGCTGGCCCTTCCAGGAGAGGTGAAGTAGCCCCAACATGTCCAACGCCAGCACGGCAAGCAGAGGGCACGGTGGTCCTCCTGGCTGCAGTACGAGAACTGGGCTGGATGTGCCAGGCTGACTTAGCCCTGCCCCCCCTCCTCTTCCTGCTCTTGTAGCCAGGACTTATGAAATGGAGCCAGTTAGGAGATGGAGCAGTTCAGAACTGCACTCCTGGACTCAGTCTAAGGTCCATCTGTGAGCTGAACTCTGGACTCCAGCTTTAGCTCTGTGTCTTACCAGGGATAGCCCGTGTCTCCATTTTTATCAGAAACACTTCGGGTATTGTCCAGCTGAGTGACCTCCATCCATGGTCAGGACTCTTGGAGGACCCAATAATTCTTCTTCATAACAAAGAGAACAGTCCCACTTCCTAGAGAGGATAAGACGTTCTTAAGAGTGTTGGTGAAAAGGCACACCACACACCAGACGACTTTGCTCAGTCTTCAACAACAACAAACGCCATGGTTGCCGTGGCAACCATGGTGATGATTCTGATGTCTGCTGACCTCCCGTCCCTGTGAGTCAGAGCGAGCTCACCTCCCCACCAGCCCCACTTGCTCCAGAGAGAGAAGAGCAGGTGCGTGGGTTAGCGCAGGAGCCAGCACGGGCCAAGGAAAGGAGAGGACGGCGGAAAGAAAACTCAAGCTGGAGAAAGAGGCCGGAGCCCATTCTAATTTTAAATTTTCAATGACCTCTGTGTGCTTTAGGAATAGGGTGATTACGGGATCCCAATGCAAAGATAGAATACAAATGAGGAGTTGTAGGGAACAACTTTGGTGGGACCGAGTTGCCCAACAGGATCAATTCCCTTGGGGGCCTTAAGGCTGTGCTCTGAGGGTGGTGCATTGAAAACCCCTCTCACTTTTCTCCGGGCCTGTTACTTTGTTTTCCTCTTTGTCTCTGACGGATCTTTAGTGTTTCACATAACAAATTGTATTGTCATTTACTGTTTGTCTTGCCCACCAGACACGGACTGGGAGGTGAGGATGAGGTGTGTCTTTTCCCGTGCTTCCTGCTCTAGGTAGGCTACAGAGGTGTGTAAGTAGGATAAAAGCTGGAACCTCTCAGATAGGATTGTCAAACAGTTCTCAAAGAGAAACAAGAAACAGAAAAGGATCAACCAAAGCGACACCCTGCCTAGGAAGGAGAAAGGCATGAACTGTCAGCGGCGCTGGTGGGGTGGGTGAGAAGCCTCCCCAACACCATGTCAGAGCAGAGGCGGGGAGGCCAGAGAGAGGCCCTCAAGGACGACAGAGCCTGTGGGAGACAAAGACCACTGAAGGCTGCGTTCTCCAGCCACTATTTTAAAACCACTTTTGAAAAGAAGTCTGTGTGAAAGGAAAGAATTTGTGCAATTAGAATGTATTTTCCTTTTATGTTCTTATCTGCTTCCTTCACAAGCTATTTTTGGTAAGTCTGCATTAACCTTCTAACAAAATGCCAATTAAAGCAACTTTTAATAGGCTGTGTTTGGAAGACTGGATCCAAAGAGGAAACTGTGTCAGATTGGCCCGCCAGTGTGGAAGCCAGGTCCTTAATCCTGTTTGGGTAGTGACTGAAATGTGCCCTTGTTTTCACGTGGGACCGCCACGTGGTGGATGGAAAGCCAGCTCTCCAGGTGGCCAGCAGGAGCAGGTGCGTCTTGTGCTCTGCTGCCCTCGATTGCTATCTTTTCCTCTCTTTTTCCTTTTGCCATCAGTTCTTTTCTTAATGGAGAATTCTTGATTCCCAGACATTGTTGAATGACATCTCAGCATGCATGTCGATGACATGAACTGGCAATACGCTGGCATGTGTGCCGAGGCTCTGAACACTTTGCATGACATCAGCCTTCAGTAACTTCTGGGAATGTGAAGGACACCACACAGCACTGTTGACACTTGGATGGCAGGTGCTCTGGACCGAGTTCCAGTTGACCTTCAGGACTTATTGAAAATCAGCCTTGAAGTGGAACCAAGGAAAGATCTGGGTCCTGCATACACCTTTCTAGATCAGCTGGATTCTGGCTTCACTGTTACATCGCTGCGTCCTGATGCACCCTGCTCTATCTCTTCCCTCCTACATGGGACGCCTTTTTATCCACGGAGTTTCCTTCAGGCGTTCGTCCTCCATGCCCTTCAGCTCTGTGTGCTGACCTCATGCACAGATCTTATCTCTCCAAACTGTCACCACAGTCGATTGTCACGCTCTGTCCATTATACTGAGAGCTAAAGGAAGGCGGGTCTTTACACTATTGACCAATACAAGGCAGGCTGATGCAATAAGTGCCCAACCTACAACTATAAGAGAAAGAAAATTTAAAAATGAAAATAGGATATAGACACCCATGTGCATAGTTTATTGATAAATAAAGAAGGTAAGTGAAGAATGGCTATGGACAGGAAGGTGGGGGGAAGACGGCCAGGGAGATAGATGCTTAAGTAGATACTGGAGGCAGGGCTGAGAGGACGGATGACGTCTTATCTCACTGCTTCTTCATTCTTTATGACCTTTGTATTCAATTCTTTGACAATTCCAAGGGTGCCCATCTTTTATTGAATTAGTTGGTTTCCTTTTCTACTGTGCCTGAAAAAGTGGAAAATCCAATTTTTGTTATTGTTGAATTTAACAAGTGCTCAATTTTGCAGAGTTGCCTACAACTGATCTAGTTTCCTTTGGAAGTAGTATGAGAAAGTAGAACGTTCTAGTCAGTTGTCTCTGATAAGACGTGCCTTGGGAGTCCACCCACTGTAAAAGCAAGGAAGCCAAGGCATACCGTATTGATGGGGTCACTTCCAATCACAGAGGGGCTGGAGGGAGAGGCTGTCCTTGTCCTGATGTCATTCCCATTAAATGAAATCACAGTGTTGGATCAAGGTGTTGCCATGAGGAAGCTCCCTGGCTCTCTGTTCGGTGACTTATGGGCTGCGTGATTGCTGTCAATAATGCATTACTCCTATGTCCAAGATCTATGGAGAAATCTGAGTTAGCATCATCCAGCAGAAACCTGCAGAACTGGACACAGCTCTCAAGCCATAGGAAGCCCTGGGTTCTTCAGAAGTGAAATGTGAGTTTCACAGGTTGGCTAGAATGGGAACTCTCATGGTAGCAGCACCTGTACCAGGTCTGGGTTTCGGTATGGGCAAAGCTTCCCAGGGTTGGAAATGGC